TACATGAACATTTTTCACTTGGAACAGTTATTCACACATAATCTCTCACACAATATTTCTGTCCATCAACAACAGTGAAAAAAATATTTTGTCACACAACAGCTGCTTTAACAGCTTTTTTTAGGGAATCAAAACAGCAATATAACATAAAGTGCACATCTAAGGTTAACTAATACTCATCCTGTAGTGGATTTAAGCCATGGTTGCATCCTTCGTTTACCTCAAGTTTGCTTTGAACACAGCAGTCAGGCTATGTTGATTCTGCTGGTCCTTCTTGCGCGGAAGTCTCTCTACGGTTTTGTGTAGACATCATTTCGGATTAATACACTTGGTTAGATGACAACACTGGAGACGTTTTATTTTCAGTGTGTTCTTTAGGTCGCTACCACTGCACCGCTGAACTCTCAAGGTGCCTCAGCGCACCGTCGCTGTCAGACGAACACAGAGAAGCTCCACCCGCTTTATTGATATGGCCACGGAACACTGTAACCTTCCACACAAAATAGTTCCAAACAAGTAACAATCGCGTCAGTTTCAGCTTGAGTCGAGCTGTGGATAATGTTGACAGCCTTGCATGTAGTCGCCATACTTTTAGCTATGGCTGAAGCAAATTTGTTCTTCGTCGTGTCATCCATTTTCTACGCTTTGAAATGATCCATAGCTGTCTGTCTGAGACGAGGGGGCGGAGTACTCACATCAGCTGTGTGCTTGGCCATTAAGTGGTATTTCAGACTCGATGTGCAATGTTGATAGCTCAGTTTACGACTGCAAAACATACAGGTAACTTTGATCTTGTCAGTGGAGCAATCTGGCAACTTTTTCAAAGTAAACTTTCCATTCATAAACTCTTTAAGTACCCGTTTTCGGTGTCTTGCGCTGCCATGGCTGGCAAAACAAATGTGTGTGGACCTATGTAGCGTGCTTGTTGTTTTGTTTCTGGTTTATTTATAGAGCAACGTAACATCCGCTGTGACGTGTGCCGCGTTAATCTCGCGAGAAAAAAATTAATCCCGTTAAAATTCATTTAAATTAATGCCAATAAAAACGCACTAAACTGACAGCTCTAATATATATATATATAAAATCATTACAAAGCCACAGCGCTTGTCAAAACATGGGTAGTGTTGCTATTTCAAAATTCAGAAATGTAATCAATGAAACTTGCTTATATTTCAATTATATGCTCTCATGTTATCATTTTGTATTGACACTAATGCTACCTTATTATATGATTTGTAATGTGTTGGATATTATTTTGTTGGCCTTCCTATGTGGAGTTTGCATGTTCTCCCCATGTCTGCATTGGTTGTCTCTTGTTCGTCCGGTTTCCTCCCTCATTCCAAACTCATGCATGCTAGGTTAAGAGATACATGCAGTCCTTTGTGACGAAAGTAAGGGGGGCGGGGGGGGACACATAGTGCAGTCATCATGAAGGTGGCCAGGACGTGTCCCTTCCGCCCACCATGCCATCTGCACCCATGCTGTAATTAAATTACTCAATGTGCGTTTAAAGCAATTTTCTCTCCTTCAGAAAACATTGTAGTCCCAAATCTTTTTTTTTTGAACATCTCATCATTTCATCTCTGATTATTTCATAGCACTGAAATGTGACAGGTGGAGATTATTTTAATTTACCCTCTAAACTTGTCTCCATTTCTTACTGATTACAACTGATTGTGACCTTAGATACTGTGCATCAGATACTCCCTTTCAGTTTGCTTGTCATATCTCTCACAGGCTTCCCTCCTCTCAGTATTCAGTGCCACCTTGCTCAGCGTTGTTATACATGACAGCAGCCTAGTAAGTAAACAGGGACGTTATTCCACCACGTTGCCCAGTGCACAGTCCTCCAAGGCCAACAGCCAGCTCCTCTTTTCTCCCTTTGTTTGTTCCTCCTTTTGCTCATGCAAATTCAATTTTGACTGGAACGCGGCATGACAC